TGGACACGCTGTTGTTTGTTATTCCTTCCATTTTTGATTTATTTTTTGACACTGGCTTAAAATAATTCAAATAGTCTCATTTGACATTGTTTTTGAGACTGTACATAATTATGGAAAGAAAATGCTACTCGCTATTTTTCTGTGAAATTTGTTTGTGTGACTAATATTGTCTTCCTCCTTAGTGGCTGAAACCTCCAATGGATATATCCATAGTCACTCAGTTAATTGGCTGGTACGTGAGGGCACAAACACTTGCGTCACTTGTAGTATTTATTACGACCGTCAGGGGCTAATAGCTTAAATGTCTTATTCCATATGGTTTTGTTATTTATTGTACGGAGGAGTTGCTAAATATAGGTCTCACTTACAACATTTGCATGTGCCCACAAAATCAACCACCCCTTTCACACAGTTTGTCCACTTGCTGATCATAGCGTTCACTAGAAATCAACACTTTGATCAAATTAGCAGGCACAATTTGGCAGAATGAAACGCGGTAGTTCCACTGATAGTGCGTTCTTCAGTGGTATATCAAATTGCCCCATATTTGGCGCGAGCGTCAATTTCTTTTATAAGCCTTAAAGACTGAAAACTCATATTAAGAGATCGGTGTTTTCGCGGTGCAACACCCGTGCCCCAACTGAACAATGCTCATTGTGAACTGACTTCCAAATACTTTCATTTTAATATCGACCCTAGCCTCTTTCGGTGCGAAGTCTGTGTGTTCTGACAAACTTGCGATTGCCTTCCGTTGTTAAAGATTTATTGATATTTCCATGTAGTCGATGGACTGAAAAATTCTGCGTGATGTTCAATAAGACCTGAAAACTGCAGTGACAAAAGTGCGCTTTAAGTCAACTCTTCGTTTTCGCGTATAATCTCATTTGTGTACCTCGATTCTGTTGAAGGTCATGACCAGGTTCAGGCCAGATGATACCTAGGCCGATATCGGCGGCACTTAACTAAGTTATCTCACTTTGCGAGCAAATGGGACGCAATTAGTTGATTTTGTTCTTGACTAACCATATAGACGTCCGTTAGTGACGCGTTATGGCGAAAGAATCCAGGGGGTAAAGTGAATATACCACCAGTTGAACACCTTCAGGTGACAAGCACACGCTTGCGTGAGCACGGTTTCACTGTCGTTTAAATATTCCACGACAAAAGCCGTGTATAATCATAATTTGCTTTTCGGGTCGACTTCACCATGACCCTTAGACGATTTCATTGATGTAGGCGAAGGCAGAGCATTCTGGTGCGTTTAATAGTATGGAAACCCCGAATTTCCTCTGACAATCTAGTCGTCTGGTTAGTTAACTCAGAGGACCGATAGAATTGAACTTTATAAAGGACAAGACCCGATTTCTTTGTGGAATGAAACGCGCATATTTTTGAGTTAATAGTACTCCTGGATCTCTACAGGGACACACATTGAGTAGAATCGAATGTTGCAGATAAATCAACAATGCAGACGACGTCAGCTGCTCGTAACCTTTATCGCCGTCGAAAATACACAACAGTGCGAGTTCCTCATTGCACTTAACTCGGAGCTCGCATCTGTTGATATTCATTCTAAACTTGCGCATGCCTCGACGCTGTTTGCGAAAGATGATGACCCCGGTTCCCAAAGTCTGGCAAGACGCAGTATCTATCACTTTATCATGGATACCAACTGATTGTCCGTTTTCCAGGCTCAGCCGCCTGGAGTTAAAGCACTACTTCAGCGAGCCTCTTCGATTAATCTGGTATAAGGTATGTCGACCGCGCTATTTCAACAGACGAAACATTCACTGTTTGCACGGGACTGCCTGATGACCGGTTAAAATATTAAGAGCTAAAAGTCCGCTTTACTAACAACTATGCCATTTTCGTCTACACCCCAACTTCAACTGTCAGCCAGAGTGATAAGGGCATTTTCTGCTTTTACTTGCAAGAACTTCTCGAAAAACCCAGGTACTATGACCTGCTGACTGTCACCAGTGATCAGAATGACCGGACGGTTCCAGTTGTCTATTCAAACGCCCACTTCATTGGCAACTTTAAACTTGGTTCTTGATGCAACAATAGTGGGAGGTTACTGTGCCTCGTCGACCATAGTTGCTGTTTGTTCTAAATTGTTCACCTGTTTAGCGATAACTTCCATCTCGTCGGGTGAATAATCAGCTTACTGGAATGGGGAGGCTGCGCAGCAAAAAAAAAACACCTGGAGAGTACGGAATTTTCGCCTGACTCCTGTGCTGGCACTCACACCCTGGCTCCATGTCGTGCTTTAACAAGCATTGGTAACTGAGGTCGCTCCCGGTGGCTGAGCCTTGCTAGCCTGATTATCGATGTACTTGTTGTACACATCCTTGTCGTCGCTTTCGAAGCGTTTTGACGATATTGATGACTTCAGGAAAAGGCCTTATCTTTCCGACCTAACTGAATCAATTATTTACGTAGTCTTTTTTGAATGTTGGAACCCACCAGAGCCTGACTACTGTACTTTTATGTAAAAGCGCTTGTATGGCACACATTGCCATGTCAACTTACTACTCGTACTTGGCACGGCCGCGATCATGCCTGATTTAGCCGACCTCGATAATATCCCAAACAGTACCTCCCTACGTCTGACCATCCGTGGCAGCAGATTTAGACAGTTAAATCCAGTCTGTTCACCAGCTAGGGAGACTGGACATCGGAAGTTCACGAACCACTTCCGTGTCTTGACAAACTGTGTCGAGCCAAGTTTCGAGTTGGCTCCGTCTTCGGCGCATCCAATTGGGTCGCGGTGCCAGATCGAGGACAGCAACATGAAGCTCTTGAGGTGGATGAGGAAAAACGTACCCAACCTACCTCAGTTGTCCTTATCAAATGGCGTATTGCATCCTTGCGAGGTCGCGGACTGTTTCATGTAAGAAGGACAGGCCGGCTGAAAGCAAAATACACGCGAATCTTCGTGACGATGGGCATGTCGTGTCGGATACCAAGGCAATTTCCAGAGCTTTAGATAATCCGGCAAGCAGCACCGATTCGGGAGACAGTGTTGTCTTTACTCTGTCCATTTAGGAGCAGCTTCGCCCCGAGGTATTTGAAACTGTCTACTTAAGGTTGTTAGTCATCAGTCTCGAGAGTCGCCTTAACAGCTAACATACTGTTTGCCCCCCACCACTTGGCCAGGGTTGCGGAGCACCTCATCCCGCGGACTTCGTAGCCTGGATCGTAATACTATAGTTTGACATGTTTTCATGAGTCTTCGTGAGTATTGGGAGTACGGACGAGTCCTCAACAGCCGCTCGGATGGCTTTTTCGAGGTTGTATCCTCTAGCGTTTTGGTTGAGGAGCCTAATCATAAGGCAGCCGTTCCAAGAAAGCTTATTTCATGGTGGTTCAAGGTTGCCATGTCACAGTGCCGTCATTGTGCTTTGTCGTTTTTTTAACTCA